ATATATATATATTAATTACTAAAAGATATAAATTTATTTAAAATAATAATTTTTTACCGGTCTTTACAGTTAAATAAAAATATTTATCCCTTCCATGTTTTATTTCATTTAAATAAAAAAAATGATTTTAATATTTTTTCCTTTCATTTTCTCACTGCATCCAAATTAACATAAACATAAATAAGGGAGCACATAATTTCTTTTGCATAAAAAAAAAAAAAAGATCACATGGGAACCAATATTCCCGAGGAAATTAATAAAATTCTTTTCAACAACAATCCCTGATTTTTTTTAGCATACATATACAGTAAAATATTTTTTTAATTAGAAGTTTTAGATTAAAATAAAATTAGAGTTAATCATTTTATAAATTTACAACGGAATTACAGATTGTTTATTCCAGTATCATGGAATAATATAAATTACAAAGAAAAATAAATTTAGTTTCAGGTCCTAACTTATAAGTGAGAAAAAAAAATTAACAGTTGCATCACTTTCACGTGGAGCTACAAAGAAATATAGGATGTAAAGAATATTTTTTTTTACAGCGGTAAAGAATAAAGCTTAATCATATGTATGTTTAATATTATTTTAATTTGAAATTTACAGTTGATAATAAGTGTGATTAATTAAAATGTTGTTGTAAGAAGTAAGAAGTGGGGTGTTAGTAGGGGTGTTCATGGATCGGTTTTTTGAAAAATTTGAAGCAAATTAAACCGAATCGTTTTATAAAAGTGGATCGGTTAACTGATCTATTTTTTATAAAGTAGATCGGTTTGATTTTTTTTAAATATGGATTAGTTTTTTTGAAAATAGATCAGTTCGATACGGTGCGGTTATCTACTTTTTACTCACATATGGATCAATTTTTTTAAAAAATTAAACCGAACCAAACCGATCCACTTTATAAAAATGGATCGGATAACTGAACCAGTTTTATAAAGTGGTTCGGTTTGGATTTTTTTTCAAAATGGATCAGATTTTTCAAAATGGATTGGATCTATTATGGATTGGTTCGAATTAATTTGAATTTTTTGCACAATACTAGTTGTTAGAAGGGAGTAAGCATGGCATGTTGGGCAATTAAGCAACATTTTGGGGTTCCCTGCAACCTCGACACCCACTTCTACTTGTTCTATTCCATTCATCATCCCACTTTGTTTCCTTTTCGAATCGATGCTCCCTCTCCAAGCTACTCCCACTTATAAGTGGGAACATTCAATTTTTTATGTCATTACAATTATATTCACTTTCAAAAGACGTAGCTCAGTTCATCAGCAGCGATACTCCTCAATTTGAGTTTTAGAATAAAAACATGATAATATACTAATTTGTTTTTCACTATAAGAATGAACTAAATTTAGAGTGAATAAAATAGATAGCTTTGAAATGAGGCGATGGTAGAGGTGGATGCTGAATGTGTTGGATAATCTTAAATTTCTAGAGATATCCGAGATATCCCGTTACCCAACATTGACCGGCTCGTTGATGGGGCATCCGACCACAAGTTCTTGTCTTTCCTCGACGCATACTCTGGATACAACCAGATCCGAATGCACCCTCAAGATGAAGAGAAGACTGCATTCATCACCGAAACGGCCAACTACTGCTACCGGGTGATGTCGTTCGTGTTAAAGAACGTCGGAGCCACCTATCAGCATCTAATGAACAAAATCTTCAGTGACCAGATCGGCCAGAGCATGGAGGTGTACGTTGATGATATGGTTGTAAAGTCGAGTGATGTATCGGCACATACGCGCGACTTGAATGATGTGTTCCAGGCGCTTCGGCAACACCAAATGAGGCTCAACCCCGAGAAATGTGTGTTCGGAGTCTCAGGCAGCAAGTTTTTGGGGTTCATGTTATCCAGCCCAGGTATCGAGGCAAACCCAAACAAGTGCCAAGCCATGCTGGATATGAAAAGCCCAACCACCTTGAAGGAGGTTCAGAAACTAGCCGGACGGCTTACCTCGCTATCCTGGTTCCTCCCTCGCTTAGCCAAGATAGCCAAGCCCATCCTACTTCTGCTCAAGAAAACGGAACGGTTCAAGTGGACCCAGGAATGCGAACAATCTTTTCAGCAGTTTAAAGAACGGCTTAGCACGCCTCCGATACTGTCTAAACCGGCCGGTGACCTAGACATGATTGTCTACTTGGCGGTATCAAGCAATTCTATAAGTGTCGTCATGGTACAGGAGGACCAAGGCAATCAACATCCAATATATTTTATTAGTCGGACGCTGCAAGAAGCCGAACGACGTTACCAGCTATTGGAAAATGTGGCCTTAGGGCTCATCTATGCCACCCGATGGTTAAGACAATATTTCCAAAGCCACAAGATAATTGTCCGAACCGACTGCCGATTGCAAAAGTCCTCCGGAAACCAGAGATTGCCGGCCGGATGATGGCGTGGTCGGTCGAGCTCTTAGAGTTCGATGTGTCTTTCGAGCCGAGAGGCCCCATCAAGTCGCAACACTTGGCCGACTTTGCCAACGAACTCACTCCTCCGGGACGTTTTGAAGACGAGCCGTGGACCATGCATGTCGATGGGTCCTCCAATGCCCAAGGCAGTGGGGCAGGGATAATTTTTGTTAGTCCTTCAGGTATCACAGTTGAGCAGTCCCTTCGTTTTGGCTTCCGAGCATCCAACAATCAAGCGGAATACGAAGCCTTACTAGCCGGGATGCGGTTAGCAACCGAAATGGGTGTGAAAAAAGTCATATGTTGGACCGACTCGAAGATCGTGGCCGAACAGGTCAACGATAATTTCCAAGTCAAGGACTCAAACCTGTTGCAATACTATCACTTATTTCAGGGACTCAAGGATGGCTTCAGTGAAGTTCAAGTACGGCACGTCCTGCGAAACAACAATGAGCGAGCCGACCAGCTAGCTCGGCTCGCCAGC